AACATAGTCTGTAGGGGGCGCTAATGAGCCAATTTCAATATTTCCACTTTCCAATGACCTAGACCCTGGAGCTGAACAATTGATAAAAATTTTGTGCAAATCTGACTTTTTTTGTGCAAATGGGAGCAAATTTACTTTTGTCAAAAATTGGAAAAAACATGTCACATTTTGCCGCTCCGCTGCTCGGACAACGTTTAACTGATCCAAATTCTATATTCAATAAGAGATGGGACATGGGTTTAGACCATGTGGAGCGATTTTGAGACTAATCGGTGAAACGGCCGAGGAGGAGATAATTTCCAGCCGACATGTGTGAAAAAGATCAATTTTCATTTTTCCATTTTCCAATTAAATTAATGAGCTTCCTGTTTGTCAAGGGGCGGAGCCATAATAACTTTTTTTTCATGTCTTGACCTGAGGAACATGTGTACCGAATTTCGTGGCTCTACGACAAACTTGACCTTCGACCCCCTCCCATAGGCGCAATGTAAACTGACTTTTGTAGGGGGCGCTATTCTGACATTTTTTTAGTCCCTTAAAAATAAACACCAAAAAAATTAATTTTTCACCGGTTCTGAATTTTGGTCAAAATTTCACAACTTTTCATCAATGTTCAGGGGGTCAAATTAAGGCTCAAAGCGCAGAAGAAAAAAGAAAGAAAGAAAGAAAGAAATAATAAATAAATAAATAAACCAAGGAATTTTTTTTTTTTAAACTTCGAGCAAAAACAATATAGGTTTCCATAGTAACCTATAATACAAATGATACGTCGTTTTAAAGCAAACGACCAGACGAACGCAACTATTGGGTTCTCGGTGATTGACGAGCGCTGACGCGCTCGTCAATCACCTCGCCATCATGAGGTCACCCACCCCCCCCCATAGGACCCCATTCATTACACTGTACTACAGCAGGAGCAAAGCCATTCAGTGCCTCTGGCACTGTTTTGTCAGTGTCTGGACACGCGCCGTCGGGCTTGGGGGACGAATGTCCGGGCTTCGCCCGGACATTCGTCCGTAAGACAGTTGAGGGAACCCCCCTTTAATAGGACTTTAATCATTTCACTGTGTACTACAGCAGGAACAAAGCCATTCAGTGCCTCCGGCACTGTTTTGACAGTGTCTGGGCACGCGCCGTCGGGCTTGGGGGACAAATGTCCGGGCTTCGCCCGGACATTCGTCCGTAAGACAGTTGAAGGAACCCCCCTTTAATAGGACTTCAATCATTTCACTGTGTACTACAGCAGGAACAAAGCCATTCCGTGCCTCCGGCACGGATTTATCAGTGCTTGGGCACGTGCCGTCGCGTGCAGGTCACAATCTCCGGGCTGCGCCCGGAGATTGTGACTTAAAACAGTTCAACGAGTAATGCCTGGGCTTCGCCCAGGCATTACTCGTTGGAAAAGCAATAGGCCCTTACCCCGGTTGGGGCTCGGGCCTAATAAGGAATTTTTTTTTAAAACTCTGAGCAAAAACAATATAGGTTTCCATAGTAATACAAATGATACGTCGTTTTAAAGCGAACGACCAGACGAACGCAACTATTGGGTTCTCGGTGATTGACGAGCGCTGACTCGCTCGTCAATCACCTCGCCATCATGAGGTCACCCACCCCCCCCATAGGACCCCATTCATTACACTGTGTGCTACAGCAGGAGCAAAGCCATTCAGTGCCTCCGGCACTGTTTTGTCAGTGTCTGGGCACGCGCCGTCGGGCTTGGGGGACGAATGTCCGGGCTTCGCCCGGACATTCGTCCATAAAACAGTTGAAGGAACCCCCCTTTAATAGGACTTCAATCATTTCACTGTGTACTACAGCAGGAACAAAGCCATTCCGTGCCTCCGGCACGGATTTATCAGTGCTTGGGCACGTGCCGTCGCGTGCAGGTCACAATCTCCGGGCTGCGCCCGGAGATTGTGACTTAAAACAGTTCAACGAGTAATGCCTGGGCTTCGCCCAGGCATTACTCGTTGGAAAAGCAATAGGCCCTTACCCCGGTTGGGGCTCGGGCCTAATAATAAATAAACCAAACCAAGGAATTTTTTTTGTAAATCTTCGAGCAAAAACAATATAGGTTTCCATAGTAACCTATAATACAAATGATACGTCGTTTTAAAGCGAACGACGAGGCGAACGCAACTATTGGGTTCTCGGTGATTGACGAGCGCTGACGCGCTCGTCAATCACCTCGCCATCATGAGGTCACCCACCCCCCCCATAGGACCCCATTCATTACACTGTGTACTACAGCAGGAGCAAAGCCATTCAGTGCCTCTGGCACTGTTTTGTCAGTGTCTGGGCACGCGCCGTCGGGCTTGGGGGACGAATGTCCGGGCTTCGCCCGGACATTCGTCCATAAAACAGTTGAAGGAACCCCCCTTTAATAGGACTTCAATCATTTCACTGTGTACTACAGCAGGAACAAAGCCATTCCGTGCCTCCGGCACGGATTTATCAGTGCTTGGGCACGTGCCGTCGCGTGCAGGTCACAATCTCCGGGCTGCGCCCGGAGATTGTGACTTAAAACAGTTCAACGAGTAATGCCTGGGCTTCGCCCAGGCATTACTCGTTGGAAAAGCAATAGGCCCTTACCCCGGTTGGGGCTCGGGCCTAAAAATGTTGAAAAATATACCTACTTGGGCGTCAGCCTCGACTCCACTTTAACATTTAAAAGTCATTTTAAAAAACTTCAAAACAGTCTAAACTTTACATTGGCCAACTTCAGACACATCAGAGGGTCCCTCAGAGTCGAGGCCTCCCACATGTTTCTAAATGCTATGATTTTGCCACACTTCATGTACTGTATGTCAAGTTGGTCCCAGGGCTCCAAATCTGCTCTGGGTCCTCTTCAATCAATATACAAACGTGCATTAAAAATACATGTCAGAAAACCCAAACAACACCCCCACTGCCCAATCTTAACAAAATACAAAATTCTTAACCTCTAAAATATGTTTTTTAATAATGTGTGTCTACTTTTTAAAATTGTAAACGGTCTTATAGCCCCACCCCTCAGGAAATATGTGACCTTGCGCTCTGAAACGATGACCCGTGCCACTCGATCTACAGCACGAGGAGAGTGCAGCGTCCCAAAATGTAGGACTTCTTTCAGAAAGTCAGCCTTCTCCGTCACTGCAGCGACTCAGTGGAACTCACTCCCAACTCACATCATCACCTGCACTGAACTCAAAGTATTCACACGCCTGACAAGAGCATGGCTCCTGGAGAGGCAAATCTGTTCCCATGTGTGATGAGTGTCTGCGTAAGTGTGTGTGGGTTTGTGCTTGTCTGTGTGTGCGTGTGTGAGTGTGTGAGAGAGAGAGAGTTCAGTGTAGGATTGTATGAAAGTAAAGAATGGGGGCTGGGTGTTTTTATTTTATCAGGACAATATTATGTGTCATGAACGGCAAATGAATTTTTTTTTCCATTGAAAACTGAGCGAAATCTGTTTTCTCTTTTGAAATGCAACGAGAGAAAGTTCCTCCCTCCTGTATTCTCCGCACTGTTTCCGCCGAAAACTAAAAATTCCTACGGTTTCCACCGTCTGTGAACGCACCCCATGCTAGTGCTATTCATGGTTGTTGGACTCACATGTGCCGTGATGAAAACACAGGGGTAAGTCAGTGACACAGGGCCGTTTACATTTGACATAAAGTATAGACACACGTTCTGCAGCGCATTACAGTAAGTAGTTCCCATTGCTCAGTTCCCATTGAAACCCATGTAAATCTTGTCTGCATTGGAGTCAAAACATCCTGTGCAGTGTACAGGATATATATATAGATATATATCTATATCTATATATATATATACCACGTATAGTGATTTCTAGCTCGTAGTGAAAAAAAGTATTTATTTGAATATCTCTTGCAAAAAGTAAAATGAACTGAACTTTGAACTAGTTCAGAATTAAAATTGTGAACTTTGAACGTGAACTGTTCACTTTGAGCATGTATGAACTGAACTTGAACTAGTTCAGAAAAGTTGTGAACTGGCACAACACTGGCCAAAGCTTTACTGTCATTGGGCCAGAGCAAAATTAAACAAATGTGACGTCACACGTCGGCTACACAGCCAGGCCAGACTAGCAGTGCACCCAGTGTAGCTTCCCCGGTTGAAATGAGTGGTCTCTCCAACTGATGGTTCATACACGTTTTTATTTTTCCTTTTATATGAGCTGTAACGATGTGATTTTACCTTACTACTTTTTTAACAATAATTGATTAGCTTGTTATAGTTATACACTAATGAACACTTAGTTCATTGTGTGTGTGTGTGTGTGTGTGTGTGTGTGTGTGTGTGTGTGTGTCTTTATTCTCACTAAACTCCATAAACGTTACGTTGCTAAGCAACGTACAACAATCCTTAAACGTCCGAGATTATATAAACAGTCAATATAAAAAAAAATAAAGAAAACAAAAGTTTTGACAGTCAATCTTAAAACTATTAAAAGAACATCAAAATACAATGACAAAAACCCAAATTTAGAACCTTGTTTGGCCTGAATGGATGAAAAGCTCCCGGCCTGAAATGTTGTCCCACTCCGGCCCTGGCTGGGACCCCTCCTCTCTGCTGTCTCTGCCCCTGGTGGAGCTCATGTGACGAATTTAATAGTAAGGAGGTCCCCAGATTTCCAACCCCCCACCCCAATAACCAGGACCCTCCCCCATGTTGCACTGTTTAGACACAGGCAGGTGCACGTGTGATCAGGTCTGTGTCTGCAGCAGATTTAGAGAATCAGACTAATGAAGCAACAGCAGAAGAATGAATATAACATCCATGTAGTTTATTTTGTGACGGCATGAGGACTGATCTATGGCTGCATTATTTCCATCAGATGTAAACGCGTTAATTCCAGATTGGAAAAACCGCACGTGCCACAGCATCAGGCAGACCAGGACCAGCTCCAAATGTGTTCATTAAATGAGGCTAATGAAGACCAGTCAATACAGGCGCTGGCGTTGACCGCGTGGGAAAGGCGGCTCACGGGCGCGTGAGACATGTGTGTGTTCCACTCATCCATCAGCGTGCGCGTGTCTGTGCGCGCGTACGTGTGGCACCATCAAACAAGCGTGTGCACGTGTGCTCTTGCAGGCGTGCACTGAGCAGGAGAGGGACACACGCACACGCGAGGAAAAGCGCATGCACGTGTCTGCGCGTGCTCGCGCAGAGTGTGACGGACGGAACCAGAGCAGCTCCGTGAGCTCCGAGAAGGACCGAGCACAGAGCTGCAGTGTGTCCGCACAGAGGCGCACTGTGGCCGGACACGTACCGAGAGGTCAGGGCGAGACACGGAAACATGGCTTCGTCTCCGATGTCTGTTCACGTCCCTGTCGCCCCCGCGGTCACTCCCGCGGTCACCCCGGCGTCCATGGAAGGAGGGACCCCCTCACCCGCCAATGACGAGCCGTCCACCCCGCGACAGGTACGTGCCCGGTCCCTCCGCGCAGCCCTGTCCCGAGTGTCTGCGACATCACTTGTGTTTGTGTTGGGACCGTCTCCGTGACGGTAGGACGCTGACTCAGCAGAACCCACTCTTACGTTTGATTGAAAAGCTGTAGATGAATGATATGAATGTCATTCATGACCGTGGCCCAAAGACACTTTGGTTCTAGAGCTCAGAAGTCAGAGACGTGTAGCTCAGACTCCTGTGGCTTCATGTGAGAGTGTTGTTAAACATTTATAATACTTTCATTTTCATTCATTATTAGGATGCAGATAGTGACGCACATGAGGCAGATCTCACGTTGTGCCTGTGGTGGGCGTGTCCCCACTGTCCTCTGACTGTCATGGCCATGGATATTATCCTAGATCTATGGTTTGGATCATAATATATATGGATTATAATATATATAGATCATAATATTTATGGACTATAATACATATGGATTATAATATATCATTATATATATGTATTATAATATATTTGGATTATAATATATATGTATTATAATATATTTGGATTATAATATAAATAGATCATAATATTTATGGACTATAATATATATGGATTATAATATATATGTGTTATAATATATTTGGATTATAATATATTTGGATTATAATAAATTAATTAATAATACATTTTACATAAAAGAAAACCGTCATCCTCACTAAAAGTTGGCGAAATGTGGATAACACTTCTTTTTCACTTTTTCCTGAGCGTTCCTGTAAATGAGGCAGAGCTGTCCGAGTCCAGCCGTCTGAGGCACTTTCTGAGTATTAGCGAGTGTGCGGCTGTAACCACAGTGGCATAAGGCTATTTCCTGTGCGCACTCTGACCACGCAGCAGAGCACAGCAGAGGCCAACACACCTACAGACACTTACCTTCTCCAATTATCCAAATCAGTCACGGAAAAGACACTAAGGAGCTTTTTGGGCAAGTTGTGTTTGAGTGAAAATCAAGTCTGTCTTAGCGAGGCAATTTGCAACATGGAGTCATATTAGAAGGAATAGATGAATACTTGATTTGCAGTCTTAAATAAATATGTGTGATGATTACCCAAGAAGTCTATCTGGCGTTAAGGGCTTTGGTAAATCTGTGGGTAATTTAAATAAGGTTTTAGTCAAAGTGTTAGAATTATTATCAGTGTTATACGTAAAGGTATAAAAAAAACCTCTCCTCTTTTTGAAAAAACTCTGGTCTTATTTGACGAGCGCGTATCACCAGAATGATGACCCTAACCCATGACAATTAGGGGGACCAATAATCTTGATGATCCACCCGGAAGTAGAAAATCCTCCTACCTTTACGCAGTTCGAACACAAGAAATACAATAATATCAAATACATGTAGGAGCTATAATATGTCCATGATACGTCTCATCGGCAAGAAACGACCCAAAAACTCAATGGGGATAAAGTGAGAAACCTTGCAGAGGCCCATAATGACAGAGCGCAACTTTAAAGAATAAATATGATGTTCTATTGTTGGATATTAATTATAACAATGAGACTTTTTACTGTATTATTGATTTATTATGCCTTACTCTATTCTCTATTCTGTTCTCTTTCTTTCTGACTGATGCACTGAGCCAAAGCAATTTCCTACTTCCTGTTACTTACATGGCATAATAAAAGATTCTGATTTATGATGTAATGTCTTGTAATGTTGAATATTATCTTAAGTAGAAAATGGTGAGACAAGAAAAAAAAAACTGCTTTCCACCTGTAACTCCCTATGCTGCCACCAGAGGGAGGCGTTACATTTTCTTTCCAAATTTGAAAATTACCGGCTGCAAACACACATATTTGTAGCCTGTTTTGTTATATGTACTTGTCTGTAGCACACTGGGGTACTCTGGGGTAAGGCAAGAAAGGCAAGGCAAGTATGGCGCAATTCATAAAAAAGGCAACTCAAAGTGCTGAACAAAATAAGATAGCATTAAAATCTTAAATAATCACAGTACATTTAAACTACGATAAAAATATAAAATCCCTCAGTTGTATGCACAGCTAAACAAAACTGTTTTTAACCTGGTTTTACACTTTGTTAGAGAAGAGGCCTGTCTCACATACATTTGAGACTGAATCTGATCCAATGACGGTCTTTCAATCATTGTAAAATTCTAATACACTCTGAAGTCCAGTCGTCCAAAGGCTGGATTGGCCTGGATTGGCTGGATTACGGGCCAGGGTCGCACCTCCCCTGACATTTGAGGACCACATGCCTCTTGCCGTTTCATTAGTCAGCGTGTGACTTTGAAGCGACTGCTGCCAGATCTATTTTAGGTTCTACTTCTACAGAACAGAACAGATCTGACACGCACAACATCAAAACAACAACACAGAGACAGAATAAAAACACGTCTTTATCTCAGGCCTCGGGTAAAGAGTCTATGTTTGTTTGAGACTGTTTAGAAAGTGATGTGGTGTCTCCGTGGAAACAAGGAGGTGGTTCAAGAAGGACAAGTTACAGGTCAGATCTGTGGAGAAGCAGGAAACTAACTTTAAAGAACAAATATTGCAAATATTGAGTTCTTGAAGATTGCTCCTCATCTGAACCGAGTCAGAGTCCTCAAAATCAGAATAACTGTCATAACAAGTACGCAAGGGCTCATAAATAAAAACCCCTGACTTGTATTGTCCATCACTGAATAACAAATATCTGTTTAAAACGTCCGTATACAACGTTATGGCTTACAAATGCATATCAACAAAGCCCAAAGACCCCTACGTGTACGTCACTTCTGGTCTCGGCAATTTTTCCGCAAATTTCTTTTTGCATGATAATTATTGATTGAAACCGCTAAGGGTGAAACTATCCGACAAAATGAGTTTTATTTAACACAAAAAAGACCACAATATACCAACACAATGAGAATGGGTCCCTTTTGAAATATCATGTGTCTCGTTAAGCTGTATGTATTATGTGGGGGAAAAAAGTGTGAATTAATGAAGATTCACATGTTTGGCCATTAATTATGAAAATGAAAATGTTTACTTGTTATGTAATGTGTAAAATGTTGACTATTATCTTTGGTAGAAAATGTAGGGAGAGACAAGTATGAAGGGTAAAAAAAAAAAATCCTTTCCGCCTGTAACTCCCTATTCTGCCACCAGAGGGAGGAGTTACATTGTTTATTTTTATTTATGTATTTTTCTAAATTTGAAAAAGGGATTGTAAATAACTGTAATACTGTAATAACTGTGTAATTGTCATTTCATTTGAGAAATTGCCATAACTTTATTTTGGGCAATACTTAAGTTTTAAAAGGCAGACAACTGCTCTGATTGTGATGTCATCATACTGTTAGAGAACTGATGAAAACCCTGAAATGTGTACGTCATTATCAAACTTCCCAAAGTCAGAGAGTTCATGAGAAGCTGGTGACACACACTGAAACACAGAGACACACACACACACGCACACAGAAACACAGAGACACACACACACAGAGACACACACACACACACACACTGAAACACAGAGACACACACACACACACAGAAACACAGAGACACACACACACACACACTGAAACACAGAGACACACCCACACACACAGAAACACAGAGATACACACACACACACACACACAGAGACACAAAGACAAAAATAATATGACAAAAATAATGCCTAATATGGCTTTTTTTAAAGTCTTGGTGCCAAACTTTCACACCACAAATATTAAAACTACAGGATACAGTTTGGCTAGATCCTAAAAACAGTTTGACAAAAACACACACAGAAACACACAGACACACACAGAGACACACACGCACATACTCTGCTCATTCATTACATCACATAAGTTAACTAATTATTATTTTAAATTGATCTTTGGCTGTGATGTATGTGATGCAAACTCTGGGGCCAGTAATCTCAGCCCGAGTCTGAGCCCGAGTCCGAGCCCGAGTCCGAGCCAGAGTCTGAGCCAGAGTCTGAGCCCGAGTCTGAGCTGTGATAACTCCTGTTGTGATTTTGAGCTATACAAAAACAGATTTAATTGAATTACCTCTACCTTCTCTAGCACGTTTTAACAGTAGTTCGCAGCTAACCAGACCATGACCTCTTTGGGCCGTAGAACCACAGACTTTACCGTTTCGCCGAGTCATGCTTAAACCTCAATCAGTTCTTTTGTGTCCAACGAAGCTTCGCCATTGTCCTCACACTAATCTCATTACACGTTTGAACCACGCTCTCGCTGTCCGTCCGCGGTATTGTTTAAATCCTGTTTGTTTATTCCATTAGCCGGTGCCTACGTGCTTCTTTTTCTTCATTTATTCACGGCGGTAAATCCTATTACCGCAGATGACGTGGCGTGGTTTGAGCCGTCGTGATGAATGGGTGAAGGTTGAATGAGACGAAACGACCTGCGAGCACGAACTATTGGAAGTGCCCAGGCTCCGTACATTTACATTTTTAAGTGGTGAGTCGTGCACGGCTTAATCACGGTCAGACAGTGAAGGATGGTGAGAAAGAGGGCGGTAGTTTGTGTTAACAGAGACATTAATATGCAAAATCTGCTTGTTTTAGTCATAGTTATATAACATTGTTCATTCATCAATAACCGTGACCATTACTATCTCCATCATGGACGTATAGCAACAACATTCATGAGGCCCGGACCTCGGTATCAGTTCTTGATTCTGATCATTTGTGGCAGTTTTTACAAGTATCTTTTGGTCATTGCCTCTTGGTCCCTCATGTAGTCAAATACTTTCTAGTACAGTGGTGTCAAACCGGTCCTCAAAGGGCCAGTGGGGCTGCAGGTCCTCAGGTACTGTAAGTCCAGTTTTACCCTGAAGATTTGAGGAACTGAGTCTGGTCAGTCCTACTCAGGTTGGAACTAAAACCTGCAGCCACACCTGCCCTTTGAGGAACGATTTGACACCCCTGATCTAGAGAATTCAGTTTTGCCGAAACAAACACGTGCATCCACCAGAATAATAAGTGCATACTATACTCACCTTACTAACCCTTTAATTCAATTCAATTCAATTCATTCTTTATTAAGAACACAGATAGAACTGGTTCATAGATTAAAAAAACAAAAACAAAA